TATTCCAACCACTGGAGAGAATTATCGGATGGCTTATGACACCCTGATAGACCGATACGAGAACAAGAGCTTAATTATACAATCACATATTCGTTCTCTATTTCAAACTCAACAATCTCAGCAACCTTCGGCTGTTGAATTGCGCAAATTAATTCATCACATTGTTTCCCACTACCGATCACTAAAAGCATTACATCAGCCTGTAGAGCACTGGGATGCTTGGTTAACTAGTGTGCTGTAAATTGGATTCCATTACGGTTGGTGAATGGCCATTAAGCTTAAAATCCAAAGAGCCTCCCACATTCGCGGCAATTGAAAACTGCTTAGCTAGTCGGGTGTCTGCCAATGAAGTTGGTGAAATTGACAGAGTAGCTGACAATGCTCATAGTACAAGATTTAATTCAAGTGCAGTTAAACCAATGCCTAAGAAGGCCCTACTTGCTAATCAAAATACTTATCCTAGGGCATATCAAACGTTCAAATGCCCGTTATGTCCCGGGACACACAGACTATATCATTGTGAAGAGTTTTTGAACCAGTCAGTGAGCGACCGCAGAAAGGCAGTATCCAATCTAATGCTGTGTTTCAATTGTCTTTTGACTGTACACTCAGCAAAGCAATGCAGGCTTGGCTGCTGTGAAAAATGTGGTATGAAACACAGCACAACGCTGCATGAAGAGTGAAGACACAAGCATTCCCAATGACAATTCGGAGCAGAGTACCAGCACAGTCATGTATGCACAAAGAGGCTCGGCCACGTCTCACTCTAGTGTTCCAACTTATGCAATGTTGTCCACATCAATTGTATACATCAAGGACGCAAGTGGTGAACGACAGCCCCGTAGAGCAGTCCTCGATAACAGTGCTCAATTAAACTTATTAACTAAGCATGCGCCAAAAGGTTGCAACTGAAGAATTCCGGTGCTTCCATCACCATCGCTGGTGTCGGTGCCAATCACATGAATGCAAAATTCTTATTGCCAACCACCCTGTCATCTCAATTTGATCAATACACTACACCTATAACGTTTCATACGTTACCAGTGATTTCAAGCCAACTGCCATCTCATCAAATTAAAATTAATCACATACGTAGCCATGTACAGTCCCAGTTAGCCGATCCTCATTTTAACAAGCCTGGTAAAATCGATTGCCTCATCGGTGCTGACATGTTTTATGAAGTATTTAAGGGAGATCGAGTCGCCATATCCGAATCGTTAACTGCTCGAAGCACAAGGCTTGGCTGGGTCATAACTGGTAAAATAAATGACCCTTTGTTACATCCTATGACCGCACTTTCAACGCCAACAGTCAGCAATCAATCAGGTCTAGCGTTATGTGCAACCCATGTATCAGCACGTCAGCATGAAGAATGTATTGCTGAAGAACACTACATTTCAACGACTCGGCGTGACGACACTGGACGGTTCATTATTTGCTTGCCGCTGAAAGCCAACCCAGAAACCCTGGGCGATTCAAGAACCATGGCAATGAAACGCTTCTTCAATGTGGAACGCCGACTTACTAGCGACCCTTCATTATCTATAGCATACAAGGTGTTCATGAAAGAGTACATTGATTTAGGACACATGCGTATTGCACCTACAGCCGGCAGCTCACTCACATACTACCTGCCTCATCACGCAGTTGTCAAGACCGAAAGCATAACAACCAAAGTCAGGGTAGTCTTTGACGGCTCTGCTCATGCCAAATCTAGATTATCATTGAACGATATTCTGTGTCGAGGGCCCAAAGTGCAAGCAGACATATTTGAAATCTTATTGCGTTTCCGCACCCATGCCATAGTCCTCACTGCAGATGTAGCTAAAATGTATCGTCAAGTTCTGGTACATCCCAGTGATCAAGACCTACAGCGTATATGCTATCGTGCCAACGCAGCTGAACCGATAGAAGATTATCAATTATGTACGGTCACCTACGGAAAAAAATCTACGTCATTCTTGGCTACACGCTGTCTAATCCAATTGGCAAATGAAGAAACTGATCCCACTATCAAACGGACACTAGCTGAGGATTTCTATGTTGATGACCTCATCAATGGTGCCAACACGGATGATGAATGCTATTTTCTATACAAAGAGCTCGGTTCTCGGTTGCAGTCTGCTGGTTTCAATCTCCGCAAGTGGTGTTCTAATGCAGCATCTCTTATGTCAAGAATTCCAACTGCTTCAAACGATCCCACATACCGACTAACGTTGGTGGACGAGGACACTGTGAGTGCGCTGTGTCTAACGTGGCAGCCTAATTCCGACACCTTCCATTTCACACTCAGCAATAGCGAAGCACCATCTCACTCCACCAAACGTGGCTTATTGTCTCACATTTATGATCCCATTGTATTACTCACACCAGCGTTGATTAAAGGAAAAATCGTCATGCAACAACTCTGGTCGTTGAAACTTGGCTGGGATTCCATCCTGTCATCAGATTTACAATCGCGCTGGATCAAGTTTTACTCCAGCCTAAAAGCATTGAATCAACTATCAGTCCCTCGTTTAGTTGTCCACGGATTTCGCTCAAAGGTCATCCTACACGCATTATCTGATGCGTCCCAGGAGGCTTATGGTGCATGCATCTATCTACGGTCGGTTGTGTCTGCATCAACGCCCATAATTCAACTATTCGCCTCAAAGTCAAGGGTTGCTCCCATGCACCCTACCACCATACCGCGCTTAGAATTATGTGGCACCCTCTTACTAGCTGAGCTAGTGGAAAGTGCCAAGATTGAGATGGCCCGAATTGGTATCAATCTAAAGCCCACTGACATTACCGTCTGGACAGATTCCACCATCGTGCTGGGGTGGATAAAAGGATCCGTTCAACTCAAAACCTTTGTAACCGACAGAATCACACAAATTCATGACTTATCTGCTCCTGAACAGTGGAGACATGTTCCCACTGCGGACAACCCAGCTGAACTTATCTCTCGAGGCGTTGTCCCCGAAGCCTTACTTGTCCCAAACACTAAGTGTTGGCAAGGGCCTCAATGGCTTCAGGCCAACGAAGATCAATGGCCTAGGCATCCCAGATTAAATGAAGAGCTGCCAGAGATTAGACCGTTAAGATTTGCGTTAGTGCACAACGTCCATGTATATGAGCTTCTGGAACGGTACTTTTCCTGGAGACGGCTCACTCGCATAACAGCCTGGCTATTTCGCTTCAAACACAACACTTTAGCTCGCGGTCAGCAGGTTAGTCAGTTAGTCAGTTCATACCATTGGCTGCACAGCGAACAACTGATGAGGAGAAGGCCAAAGCACATTTTTTGTCAACAGTGTCACGCGATGTGAAAGGCAGATTTGTAGGAAGATTACCATTTGCACAGGATCTCAAGGCGCTGGGCGATTCGCACCAGTGTGTCCAAAAACGATTCTTCAAACCGGAGAGGAGCTTCGCAAAAGAACCTGGAATTGCCAATGAATACAAAGCATTTATGACCGAGTACCTTAGCATGGAAATTATGGAAGTGGTTACAAATCCTTCCAATCTATGTTATTACTTGCCACATCACGCCGTGTTAAAAGCTGATATCCTCACTACCAAACTATTTGATAGGTATTTGATGGGTCAAAAGCATCAATATCTGAAATATTATTGAATGATATTTTGCTAAAAGGGGCCAAGACACAACCTGACATCATCAATATACTACTGCGGTTCCGTGTCCACAATATTGCCATCACTGCAACCTTCAACGCATATGCTATCGGGCAGATCTACATGACAAGTTAACAGAGTAAGCTAAAGACGGTAACATACGGCAAAAAAGAAGCTTCATTTTTAGCGACTCGATGTCTCGCACAAATCGCCAATGAAGTTAATAATGCTTCCATTAAGCGAATAATTTCTCAAGGTTTCTATGAGAACGATTTGATAAATAGTGGTAATTCAATTGAAGCAGTGCACAATATTTATCAAAAGTTGCACTCCACTTTAATACAATATGGGTTAACACTTAGAAAATAGTGTTCTAATTCTCTTCAACTTATCGAGCTAATATAACAACAATAAAATGACAGCAATTTTTTGATACACATGGGTGAAGATGAGACAGTTGGCACACTGGGTCTATTGTGGCAACCAGTGACGGACAATTTCATATTCATGGTCAAAAAATGGTATCCACCCTTCAGAATGACAAATCGATCTCTTTTGTCTGATATCAGTAAGGTGTTCGATCCAATCGGTCTTGTTACCCAAGTGTTAATAAAAAGAAACATTTTTCTACAGTAACTATGGGCTTTAAAAATTAGCTGGGATGAAGTACTCTCTATCGATATAAAAAATCACTGGACAAAATTCTACACCAGCCTGCGGTGCCTGAATCAGGTTATCGTCCCTAGAAAGGTGATTATGCACCCCGCATCAAATATTCAACTACATGCTTTTAGTGATGCATCCCAAGAGGCACATTCGAAGCTTGAGTTTACATGCGTTCAATGAACAGTGATGGTATTGTTGAAGTTAAGTTAAATATCTAAAAATCGAGAGTAGCCCCCATGAATCCATCAACCATTCCTAGACTGGAGTTATGTGGAGCATTGCGTAACATAAGCATAGCTCGCCAAGAACACTCTAGATAAGCTCCAGACGTTAAATGTTATCATACCATCCAGTAACGTATATCTATGGTCAGATTCTGCGATAATAATTGCTTGGGTACACAGCAAATCAATATTTTTGGCTTACATTTCAAACCGACTACCTCGAATCCATGACGTATATTTTCCAAACAAATGGCATCACATGCCTACTAATGACAATCTGGTTGACCTAATATCTCGGGAATTGACGCTGCAGCCATACCCCAGTCAAGATTGTGGTGGCATCGGCCTCATTGGTTAGCACAAGGGCGAAGTATGTGACTCACCAGTTTTCAAACACCAGATACATTGCCCGATATCCGCACAGTAAAACTAGTACTTACTGCTTCAGATTAACCATAACTATGGCTATTAGGCGAATACTCAAGTTGGACAATGTTACTTAGTTTAATTAAATTAGTACAACGCTTTGTTAGCAATTGCAAGCCTGCTCGTTTAGAAAAACGTCATGAATGTTCAATTGGGTTTCTAAACATTGCAGAATTAGCTAAAGCGGAACATTTTTGGGTTCTCTACGCTCAAGTCCCGACGTCCAGTGATGAGTATTGCCGGTTGAGGGCAAGTCAGATGGTACGCCACAGCAGTGCATTAACAACGTATAATCCATTTCTTGATGAATATGGTTTGATCAGAGTAAGCAGTCGATTAGGCGACGCATCCATTGCTTATGGCACAAGTCACCCAGTGGTATTACCATCAAAGAATATTGTTACAAAACGGATTTTTGAGTATGAGCACCAGCGCTTGTTGCATGTTGGTCCTCAAGCGTTGCTTGCTCACCTGTCCAAGAAATATTGACCACTTCGAGGAAGGGAAACAGCTAGACTAATAGTGGATAGATATGTATATATATATATATATACATATATACATCTGTATACAGTTCCTTCGCTCCAAGCCAAACTTCTCTTCTCCGATGATGGCATCGTTACCGACTGAAAGAGTTTTTATAAGCCGTGAATTTACAAAAATTGGGCTTGACTATTGCGGTCCAATCATGGTGCGAAGTGGTATCAGAAAGGTAACACCAATCAAGTCTTACATATGCGTATTTGTGTGCATGGTCACTAGAGCCGTACACCTAGAATTAGTTTCACCACTATTAACCGAGGACTTCATTACCACCTTATCCCGATTCATGACAGGCAGAGGGCACGAAGACTCCCGGGTTTTATTGCCTCACGGCTACAACCGCGTACCTTATATTAGCGCTGAGCGCTAGTCAAGAGACGCGGAGTTACTCGGTTTTACCCGTAGCCCGGCGACTGGCCGCCAGAGGTGGACGGCACACCGGCGGTGGCCGCTACCCACCAACCGTTAAAGCGACTGGATCTGCGTGACCGCTGTCCCCGGACGCCCGCCGGTTACGGTGTTTGCCAGCTACACCAGCGAAAAGACCAAAAACCCGCTCGAATCCGACTAAAAACGGATTTGGAAATCCGATTGGCCGGGCGGGAAGCATTCCTGGCTCGAATACTCCCCTGGGCTAACCCGGCCCCCGAGCTACCGTTCCTACGTGTCAACGGTTGGACATACTTCGGCGGCCGCCTCCGCCTACTGAATTTAAGGGGGGGCACCCTACAGACAAGCCGTCAGCTGCAAGTCCGCTATGCCCGCATCGACTTCACGAGCCTGACTGATACTGAGACGCTTGGCTGTAGGTCGGAGCAAGCTCCGGCACCCATGATACCTGCACACGCTGGAAACACCGCTGCTGGGGTCGGTTGCCCCAGCAACGACTGTGAACCGGTCCGGAGGGCACACCGCCCGGGACTACGGGTCATTTAATCGGAGCTGTCTGGGGCGCGTCGTTAGTTATTAACGCGCTACCCGACCCGAGACGAATCCCGGGGGAACCGGGCGTTCTACTTTCCGCAACCCGTGGACGCAATCTGTACCGTCCGTCGTCGGTTAACGAAACCACAGCAGGGCGGCTGTGGTTTCGCTAGATGACAGGCAGAGGGCAATGTTCAGTCTTATATAGCGATAATGGCACTAATTTTTTAGGTACGCATTGTATACTGAAAAATCAATTTAACGACCATGAAATAAATCTGTAAATGATTATTTAACCAGTAACACTATTCAGTGGCAGTTCATTCCACCACCGGTACCTCATTTTGGTGATTGTGGGAGGCGGCAGTAAAATCAGCAAAGAGACATTTACTCAGAATTTCAAAAAGAGTGCTGCTAACATATGACGAAACCACGACACTACTTTGCAAAGTAAAAGCAGCCCTGAAATCTAGACCATTAACTACTATGTAATCTGATCCGGCTGATTTGAGTGTCCTTACACCTGGGCATTTCTTAGTTGGTGGACCACCCTATTACTCCCTGAACCTGATAGTTCGATGATTCCTCATAACCGATTGCGCCGTTTCAAATTAATGCCCAATTTCAAAATTTCTGGAAGCGATGGTCATCCGAGTACCGGCCCTAGTTTCAAAAAAAGGGGAAATGGTTAAAAAGGCAGCTGTTGGTGATTTGGCTATACTGAAAAATGAGCTGTTGCCACCTTCACATTGGCCGTTGGCCAGGATCACAAAAAATCACCCTGGATCAGATGGAATTCGGGCGGTAACATTCAAGAGTCCTTCTGGACAACACTTCAAACGTCCAGTTGTGAAATTTTTAGTTTATCCCACCACAGGATATAGAGATCACGATGCAGTTATTCAGGAACCAGCATTGTTACATCTCCATTCAAAATGTAGTTTCTTTTGTTTATATTCATAAATTAGGCACTTATAGTGTTATTATTATTATTATTATTTTTTTGGTTTATTTTTGTATACTTATAGTTTGTTGTATTATATTATGTTGTGCTATGTAGTCATTATATTGGTTCTTAAAAGGCTTACTCCTTTCAAAAGAGGGTATATGTTTGCGCCACAAACAACGGGTGTGTTACGTTTTCATGATGTGTCCCCCTATGCAACTGCTAGTATTGCTAAAGTATTGCGTGACGATGATAGTGGTGGTATGATAACCGCTGCTGTCTAGCTAGTGATAATGTTCCGCGGCCGTTGTTTATTTGTGTTGTTGTTGTGTTTGTATTATATTAAAAATATTAAAATGTACTTTTTGCAAAGTCATGCTTGCAGTGCTTCTGTAGCCCAGACTTTCAATTGTCCATACGTACAGTACTGGCAGCCGCTGGCTTTAATTGTTTTTTGAGGTTAGAGAAAAATTGTCTGATTTAATATATGGGCTTTTTGGCTGACCACCTCCGTGTCATTTTTGGCTCACTCTGCAACACTCAATTTTATTTTGTACATAGTTTCAAGTCAAGCACAGCATAAGTTATCACATATTACCTATATGAAATTAATTCATTCAGATTTTTATTGATTCATATGAATGCAGTAGAACGTTTTGTGTCAACCAATTGTGTGTGTTTAAATGCAGTCCTGTGAATTTGTTGTCCGGTAAAATATTGTTCTTGCCATCTACCAAATTACATGCACTCATCCATTTTTTGCCAGTTTTGGGTGTTCATCATATGTACTTTCAGCAACAGTGAATTTTTTTTGTGTTTTTGTGAGTTGAACCGCGAAGCACGTTTCTGTCAATTTATTTTTTTTTTGTGAGTTCTGGTCGACCATTTCTGTTATATGTATCATTATAAGGCCAACGGTCAAAAGTATTAATTAGTCAGCCATTCAGGCATATTATATATTTTTACATTATACAGGGTGATTCTTTTATCATTGAACACTCATTATTTCAAAAAGTATTAATGTTTAAGAAAATATTTTTTTTGCATAGTTTCAAGTTATTAAAAAACAATATTTTTATTAAAAAATTATATTTTTAAATATTTTTTATCCTTTTAATTTTTAAGTTTTTTACTTTTTTGAATGACAACATCTAATTTTAATTTGATATTCAAAAACAGAATATTTTTCTGAGTATTTCGATACATAAAAATTGAATTTAGGGCAATTAGTTTATGAGTTATAAGTATTTAAAGTTTAGATGAGCGGAGTAGAGTGGTACGGGGTTACCCCGCGAAATGTTTGTCCACTACTCCGCTCATCTAAACTTTAAATACTTATAACTCATAAACTAATTGCCCTAAATTCAATTTTTATGTATCGAAATACTCAGAAAAATATTCTGTTTTTGAATATCAAATTAAAATTACATGTTGTCATTGAAAAAAGTAAAAAACTTAAAAAATTAAAAGGATAAAAAATATTTAAAAATATAATTTTTTAATAAAAATATTGTTTTTTAACAACTTGAAACTATGTAAAAAAATATTTTCTTAAACATTAATACTTTTTGAAATAATGAGTGTTCAATGATAAAAATATCACCCTGTATTATTATTCATGTAGCCACATTCAGGCATATATTTTTCATATTGTTCATATTATTTTAACTAACTTAAAATTAACTATTATATTAGTTTCATGTTAATAAACATATTTCTATAATTAACTACATTTTGTGTTAAACTATTTATTCTACCTTCACTTCAACCACCATCCTCCGATTCATTGCGACGACGTGTACGTACATTCGTCGTTAAATAAGTGTGCAGTAACCAATTAAGTGAGAGCGACGGGTTACTACATATCTTTCTATGACTTGTTAAATTATTTTTGAGAGAAAATACTTTATCACAGCTATTACATACATACCGAACTTCTCCGTTATGTGTCCTTCTATAGCTGTTTGATGTCAAATCCGAATTTACTAGATTTATGTTTTCTAAGGATTTGATTGACTCGGATTGGATTTGGATGGCTGTACCTCTAAATTCAGCAAAGGCAATCACATCTAATTCCTTTTTTATGTCAATTCCGTTATTTTCTTCAGTTTTAGTTCTAAAAAAATAAAATAAGTTACTTTAAAAATATGTTAACTTTTATCAAACAAAGGAAAATAAATATAATAACAAAATATTCTGTAGATTTCAATAATACATTAAAGGTATACCTCTTGGAAAAAAATGTTATATGTTTTTCAATATATTATATCTAACTTACACATGGACAATAACTTTTATATTTATATAATATATTGTACACATTCATTTATATATCTATCTAATAATTTGTTAAAGATAAGATACTATATGTTGAAATTAAAGCATTCATTCTGGTAGAAATGTTGTACATAAGAAAAAAACAAAATTCTAAAACCACTAGCTTAATCGCTCTGCTCAAAATCTAAAATGTTATACTGATTCCTCATCAGTTTGTCTACCATTAACTAAAAAAAAAATTTACAGTAAACTTATTTATTTTTTAAAATTTGCATGTATCTTATTCGTTTTTGAATTACAACAAAATAAGGAAATCGCTACATGAGAAATCGAGTGAAAATCCAATATTGTAAAAATTTGAATTTAAAACGCTCATAAAAATTTAATTTGACTTCCTATAGACATTTTTTTTTTGATAAAGCTAGATAATCTTATAAGAAATCATTTAAATCTTAGATTTAAAAAAAAAAATTTTTACAAATTCTTAACTCAAATTAATTTGCTAATTTTCGTGATTTTTCCATATTTCGTCAATTTTTGAACATTAACTGCTTATTAAAAAAAAACTGTGACTAAGGATTTTTAATACATTTCATCTAATTTTGAAACAATATACTAGGATCTTTTAATTCAATTTTCAAGCTTTAACGAACAAATACAATTTTATTGATATTTTTATAAAAAAAAACAATAAAAAAATGGAAAATGAAATTGTTCCTAAACAGTTAAAAAAAAAATCATAATATTTTTGTGGTTTTGTGGAAAACCGATTTTTAGTAAAAATTCCCGTTTTTCCTTAATAATTTTGTTTTTTTTTCCCGGCGCTTGTGAAAATTATTGGGAATTTTAAAATTTGACCTCCCGAATGCACCAAATAGATTCACTTTCCCATCGAACAAGATACTGTTGAAGAAAATCGAATCAGTTTTACTGCCCCAAACCGTGATGAGACACAAAAAAAAAGGTGGGCAAGTGGGTGTCGCTCTGCTGTACAGTAGGTTACAAGTGGGTCACTGTATAATGGATGGTATTACATTTGAATTCAATGATTTAATATCATTGTATAAGAAAAACGATTCTGAGCGGTGACGGTATGTCAGTCTATGTATAAGACATATACATATCTATGGTATTAAACAAAAAATTGACCTATAATAGGTACCTATAATAAATTCCAAATTAATCATATCACAATATCCATTAGATACTTATAACGCGTTATACATCAACAAAAACCGTGATACTATCATAGATATATAATAGTATACTTTAGAAGTTTCAAATACCCACGAATAATATTATTCAATCACAACAAAATAACTAAAATAGTTATTCTAGGTTTTTTAATATGTAATTTCGTCCAAATTTGAATTTAAAATGTCTGTAAAAAATAAGTGTGTTCATATATTTTTTTAGATTTTTTGGTTATAGTATGAACTATTTATGAGAACCTTTGTGTTGAATTTGTAATCCTTAGCTATAAAAACTGAACATTTTATAATTTATTAATTACAATGATTGATAATTTTCGAGATTTTGATAAATGTTGTCAAAATTTGATCTTTAAATGCTTATAAAAAAAAATTGTGCCTATGTATTTTTAATATTTTTCAACTGTTATTGTAACAATATATCAGGAGCCTTGTATTAAATTTTTACACTTTTTGGCCCAACAGATAAAACATTATTGATATTTATAGAAAAAAAAACTAAAAAAAATTGAAAGCTGTAAATGTCCATGAACAGCTCAAAAAGAGTCAAAAGATTTTCAAAATTGTATGGTGTATAGAAAATGTTAATTTAAACATTCAGTGAAATTTGCATGTATCTACAGTTGTTCGTTTTTGAATTGCAACAAAATAAGGAAATCGCTACATGAGTAATCGAGTGAATATCCAATGTTGTAAAAATTTGAATTTCAAACGCTCATAAAAATTTAATTTGACTTTCCAGTAGAGATTTTTTTTATTGATAAAGGTAGATAATCTTATAAGGAATCTTGTGTTTCATTTTCAAATCTTAGATTTAAAAAGAAAAATTTTTACGAATTCTTAACTCAAAATAATTTGCTAATTTTCGTGATTTTTCCATATTTTGACAATTTTTGAACTTTAAATGCTTATAAAAAAAAATTGTGACTAAGGATTTTTAATATTTTTCATTTGCCTTTGAAACAATATATTAGGAGCCTTCTATTAAATGTTCAAGCTTTTGCAACCAACAAATAACATTTTATTGATATTTTTAGAAAAAAAACTAAAAAAAAATGGAAAATGAAAATGTCCCTAAACAGTTCAAAATAAATCAAAATATTTTGAAAATGTTATCGTGTATAGAAAATGCAAATATAAACAACCAGTGAAAATTTCATGTATATACGTTCATTTGTTTTAGAGTTACACCAATAACCATAATCGGTTTTTTGGAAAACCAATTTTGCGTAAAAATTCCCGTTTTTCCTTAATTTTTATGTTGTTTTTCCCGGCGCTTGTGAAAACTAACGCTGTTTTTATTACATTATTAATAATTTTGTTAACTGAAATTTAATACACGATAAGTCAACAGAACACTGTAAAACTACATGATGATATTAATGTAAAGTGATATACTTCATAGATTATCATTTATTTTGCTGGTATCAACCTCGCTGTGGAAAACGATTTGGATAACAGATAGGAGGAGTTTACCGAAGAGACAGTGTATTCAGTATTGTGAAATATTTTTATATAAAAAAGATTTA